ATTTAAACATTAAAAAAAAAAATTACATACATAAAATACAGGAGAAGATGAAAACGTTATATTTTTTTATTTCAACAGATATTGGGCTCATTTTGGCATACAGAGTTTTATTTTTGTTCTTTGTAATGTCAACAATAGAGATTAAAATTTATATGCTCTTTATTAATTGGCTACATTTGTCAGATACGCTGTATGCTAATCACGCGGATTTGCACTCCTGGACATTATGGTTATTTGACACTTCTGAGTACAAATACTTGAAACATTAGACTAATTCGTGGAGATCTAATAAATGTCTTTAAATTGTAAAAAAAAAAAGAAGATAAATGTGATAAAAGATAATACTCATGGTCTTTGTCAAAACCTTTACTCTGTAAAAGTAATTAATAAATGGAGCTCTCTTAATGACTCTCCTAATGACGTAGTAATTGCATCATCATCTATAAAAGAGTTTAAAATGTTAAAGACGTAAAAACGAAAGGCATCTTAAAAACTGATTCGCATTTCTTTTTAGTTTATAAAAATTCTGGTATTGGTAACTTTTTATATAACCAGTTGACAGATATTCAATATCTATATAATTTACATATTGAAACCTTGATAGTAAAAGAAAAAAAAAAATCTTTTTTGCATGAATGTTTAATAATTATTAATCGAACTGCATTAATAATTAGTAATCGAAACGCCAGACTGTCTTAAGGCGTAATTTTAAAAAAATATATTGGGAAATAATTAAAAATCAAAAGAATTTGCCGTATCATACCAAAGTTTATTATACCACGCGGGAATCTATTGCAAAAGATTTTGATTTTGCTGAGTTCGAAACAAAGTTCTTTGGTTACAGTTTTAATTGTAAAAAAAATGTAAATCTTGTAAAAAAATTTTAAAAGTCTTCATCGTAAGAAAATTTATGTTTCGAAAATTTCTCGTAAACAGATTTTTTTTTAATGATGAATTTTGTCTATAGGGCTTTTGATCATAAAAGCTCTTAATAATAGCTAATAAAAGCTTTTGATCATAAAAGATCATGAAAATTTCAAAAATAGTAGTGAATTCGTTAAAATTGTAAAATTTGAATAACCGGTTAAGTAGTAAAGTTTATATTTTTTTAACTTAAGAATAACTTTTGTAAAATCATAAAAACAAATTTTTTTAAAAAATAAAATCATTAGGAGGGGTAAAAAGAAAATCAATGAATCAAATATATCGCAGTTGTAAATTTGCACTTATTAACGCCGGTAATAATTAACTAAATACAAATTAGCAATAACAGTATTTTTATTTCTTAAACATTATTTTAATTAAAGCATATAATTATTCATACATACATACATACATACATACATACATACATACATACATACATACATACATACATACATACATACATACATACATACATACATACATACATACATACATACATACATACATACATACATACATACATACATACATACATACATACATACATACATACATACATACATACATACATACATACATACATACATACATACATACATACATACATACATACATACATACATTCATACATACATACATACATACATACATACATACATACATACATACATACATACATACATACATACATACATACATACACACATACATACATAAATATATTTATATATATATATATACATAAATATATATATATATATATATATACATATATATATATATATATATACATATATATATATATATATATATATATATAATAATATATATATATATATATATATATTTATATATATATATATATATATATATATATATATATATATATATATATATATATATATATATATATATATATATATATATATATATATATATATATATATGTATGTATATATATGTATGTACATATAGTTATATATTATTAGACAAATATTTTCAAAGTTGATTTGAAATAAATTGGGACTAGTCAAAATGAAGTATTGGTCAAGCTTCAGCTGTGATCACAGGGCACAAATTGCCATCTAAAAGACAAGTCTTACAAACTTTTTTTTTCTTTAAAAATAACAACGATGTAAGAGAAAGTACATGTCTTGTGACAGATTAAGTTCTAAAATTTTGGCGAAGAGCTAGAACTCCAACAAAGCAATGTTATCATGTTATAATACATGTTAAAAACTTGTTTAGAAATACGGAAAACTGAAAAAGAAAAGTAGCAAAACAGAAACTCAGCAAAGAAATAAAGAAACTATTTCTCGAGAAATTGAAGAACTATTTACTATTGCTTATAAAGATGCTTTAAAATTAATTACAATAGAAGACAAGGCGTTTCTGATACTACAAAGAGAAGAAAGAAAAGTTTATATGAGTTCAGTTGATTGTGAATTATACTAGATGACTTTATTTCATCAGCAGCAAAAAAATTTAAATTGAAAAGGAGTGAAGAAATAAAGCAAGTAATTACTCCAGCATTTTGTAAAGCTCTTGATCATTTGAAAATTTCTAATTGTTCTGGTTCCTTGTTTTGTCTACAGTTTGTCAAGGGTTAGGTGCCAATATTGAACATTTCTCTACATCATATGAATCCCTTTGATGTGCATGTATTGAGAATCAATACATGCACATCAAGAAGTTGCAAAAAGAATTATTTCAGAATTCATGCCACAGTCTTCATTACCTGTACATTGCAACAGAAAACTGATTAGAATGACATAGATGAAGTGGATTGACTACCCATATTAGTGACATAAAAAAACTGTTTTTAGTCCCAAAATTGGATAGAGGTACCGGTGAACAAATAAGTTGCGCAACAGAACAAGCTTTATAAGATTGGAACATTTCATCTGACAAAATTGCAGCTCTCTGTTTTAATACTACTTTAAACAACACAGGTACAAATTTAGGTGCTTGTACCTTGCTGGAAAAGTTAATTGGAAAGTTTTTATTATACACAGCCTGTTAATACCATAATCATAAATTGGTTTTATCCCATGTTTACAAAACTTGTCTTGGACTATATTATGGTCTAGAGGTTAGGTTGTTTCAACATTTTTGTGATCAATTGAGTAAACTTAATTCTGAATCATGGGTCTTAACTGATGTAGATCTCAAAGTGTATGGTTCAATTGTACCATCGGCAGTATAATTTGCTGTAAATATGCTGCAAGGAACAAAACAATCTTGCAACAATAACAAAGATTTTTGCAACTGGATAATTTTTTAAGGAAAAACTTCTCCAGGTCAAAGTGAAACAACTGTTTGTACTCTTGGTACTATGCAACAAGCATAATAGATGGCAAAAGCACTGTACTCTATTATTTATTCTAATAACATTTATTTTTTTCTTGATAAGAAGCCAACTCTCCCTGATTGTTTGATGTGGCATTTGAGCTTGAAAAGGAGCTCATTTCTGCTACAACATAAGGCTCTCAGTGGCTGGTTTAACTCAGATAAAACTAATTTTTTTTCAGCTAATCATTATTGCACAGTCTAGTTCTCTCATAGTTATGAACAGTAATGTACTCAATGAGTCTGCCCTTCATCTTTTAGGATTAACTCTTACTTCTGATCTTTTTTGGAAACCATATGTCAAATCCGTTGCAAGATTAGCATCTGCTAAGGTTGCATCTTGCTCGCCACTTTCTTACCTTAGATTCTATTCTTTATCTCTATAAATCTCACATCTGTCCTTGTATGGAATACTGTTGTCATATCTGGAGCGGATCTTCCAATAATCTCCTTTTTCTTTCAGACAAGGTGCAAATGCATTATAAACATAGTTATACCTGCTCTTGCAGCTAACCTTTAACCATTGTCAAATTGTTGTAATGTTGCTTCCTTTCTTTTCTTTTTTCTATAAATACTATAATCTACTAAAATTCATTCTCGTATTATTTGTCATTCAATTAAATCTCATCTTTTTACTGTGACTGTTCCTAAGATCTTTAAAAATATTTATTCATCAAGTTTTTTCCTTTGAGCATCAGTTCTTTGGAATTCTCTCCCTTAATCTTGTTTTCCTGATTCATATAATTTGCCATATTTTAAGTCATCTGTTGATCATTATCTTGCTCTATAAACTTCATATTTTCTCTTCCAGTAACTTTCAACTCTAATAGTGGTTACTTGCAACTTTGTTGGAAGTAAAGATGTTAAAAAAAACAACAAAAAACTACTTGTTTTGATATCAATTTCATTTAACGAAAAATGAAGAGAAGAATCTTCTACGGTTTTCAGTTTTTTCAGTTTTGATTTATATGGAACATTGGTTTCGGGCTTCCATCTCTTTATCTGCTCCTCACAATAACCTGACTTTATTAAGAAATTGAATAGTTTGAAAATATTTGATAAAGAAGTGGCTAAATCTGCCATAAAAGCTATTGCAGGTCATTTATGGTATTTAACTGAAGATCTTGTGAGTCTCTCTTCAGCAAAGATGTTGATAACTAAACTAAAGAAAAAATATTGATTGCATTTGAAAAGCCAGCCAAAAAAAAACATGTAAAAAGGCTTGATGGGAATCAAAATTTGAAGTGTTTGGAATACACTGGACATTATTTATAAACTGAACATTGCTCAAACACATTGCGTACAGTAACTAAATACCAGGGAGAATACATAAAATTGTTAGTTCTCTGTAAGTTGTGAATGACACAATTGAAGGAGAAGCGAAATTTGTTTCAGATTAAACGAAAATCTTGACGAAAGATGAAACTCAATTGCAATATACATGAAACAATATATTTAATTATTTATATTATAAATTTCCATGTTTTTATTCCTCATTGACCCTATAATTTGATAATATCAAGTTCATTAAGCAACGCCTAGATATAAAAATATGTTAATAATATTTTGCACAGTTTATTTTTTAATTAAAAGGAATGCAATAAAGAGTGGAGAGTCAAATTTCAAGCACTTTAATTTTTTGTCACCATAATATACACACACACACACGCAAACACATAATAGTATACAAATAAATATATTTTTTTGCTGTAACATTTATTTAGTGACTAAAGTATGATAAAGTTATGTACTTAAAAAGGTGGTCAAAGTTGGATATATGTTGATACAAATAATTCAATAAAGTTTGGTAAGTATATACATAATGCATATAAATTAAATTGACTTCAATTTATACCAATGGCTTAACGACTGTTATATTTTACAAGTTTGTAGAATTTCATACATTTATAGAATATGTTGAAACTAATATAAAAAAAATCCTTTAAAAATGTATATTTCTGTGTTTTTTTTATATTTTATATATATTATTGGCTTATGATTAAGTTAATATATATTGGCTTTATAAAGCCAATATATATTAACTTATGAAGCACCACCTACCTTAATTGATTCTCCACCTACTATGTATGAAAAAAATTGTATATTTTAATTTTAGTTTTATTTATTTAAATCAAGAAATAAATAAATAAATTTAATATGATTACAAAACAAAAAAGACTTTCTTTTTCTTTCAATTCTTTTTTTTCAGCAGCTTTATTTTTATGTTCAATTTTTTTTTGATATCTTCTCCTTCCTTTGCATTTTCTTTAGTTATTTGAATTTATAACCATTTGGATGAAGTTACAATGCTCGGTAATTGTTCAACATGTTTTAGTCTCTTTTTTTTTGTACATTTTCTCTCACGATTTTTATTAAAATTGTTGTCCAATTTAAATTGCTGACAAATGTTCTGCCTTTTTTTTTAATTGGTCCAAAAACTGACACATCTAATTGTTGTAAGAACATTTATATTGGTAATTGTGTATTAATAGATTTTAAATATGGTTCTAACACATTTGTGAAGTACTCATAAAAGCATTCGCCAGTCATCCAGCTGCTGTCGCTTTTACCGAGACCCCAACCTAGTGGTGCAGCAGCAGCAATAGTTTTTGGCATTTGAGCATATTTGTACAATGTTAATGATGGTGCAAATTCGTCATTTGTATTTGCGCAAAATAGAGTTGTAAGGTTTTATATATATGGCTGATGTTGCATTCTTCATAAACATCTCTTCATCTAATGCCAATTACTTTTCCAGTTATTGGTGCTAACTTAAAACCAGTTTTGTCTAAATTAAGAGATGGATGATTAAAGTATTGTGCATCATCACCTAATAATTCATGCACCTCATTAAACCATTTTCTTATCGATGCTTCAGTTATAAGAAATCTGGCTCTACTAATATGCTCTGTTTGTTTTCGCGATAATTCCTTATGACGGCGCATAAATTTATAAAACCAGTTTTTACTTGGGATATCATCTTTAAATGGTGTTTTTATACCTTGCCCTTTAACTATTTTTTGTACTGTCTTCATAATTTTTTTGTTAGCGCACTACATTAACCAAGCAATCAATTCATTCTTTATTTCTTCTCCAAGATATGATTTAAAGCCATAGTTTTGCTGTTTGGGTTGGTTTTTACCAGATAATTTGTCGTATAAGGTACTTTTAGGAACATTAAACTTGTTGCTGACACATACAAATTTTTCACCTTTATTTAAAACTCTAAGTGTTGCATGCAGTTGTTCTTCGGAATACAATAGCAATTTTCAAATATTATTTTTCTTTTTTGAACCTTGCACCTTTTTAATGGAATTCATTTCACATAATAAATGAAATATAAAAAACATACTAAATAATCCCTTTGGTTAAAATACCTTTAATTGGTAATTTAGTTTAGCTTGAATTGTTTTTTAGAGAGAAAACTTTACAAAATATAACACGTCCGAAAAAGGGAAAGTAATATTTCTGCATTGCATATCTGTGTTGAAAAACAAAAGATAATTTTATTTTTTGTACTAATTATACTAGAACTTTGTATTATAATTATGTAGAGATGTGCTGGGTACCCGGCAATTCTTTTAGGTGTGCTGGTTTACCTGGTAATTTTTGGCTGTGCCTTGTAATTTTAAAGGTACTTGGTAGTTTTTAAGGTGCCTGGCAACGCAGAAACAGAAAAAGAGGTGTTGGTAGCATGAAAACCCCCATGGTGTACCAGGTACCTGATAATTTGAAATGACCCAGGACCCAGCAAACATATATAAATGACAGGGTACCTATTCAGGCCCTATTCTGGGAAAAAAATTTGGGCATCAGTACCCCCTCATTCTGACAAAATGTAGCTGAAAATCAGCATTTTTTTCGAGATAGAAACAATATTTGCTGTAAAAGCGTAAAAAAAAAAAATCTATCAAAAATTTTTGTCCGTTTCTATAAAAACAATTTTTGATGCATTAGCACATGTTTATTTAGAGCATGTTTGGCTCATTTATTTCATTGTTTAAAGTATACATACAGACATAGCATATTAACTTGAACAAAGTTAATTTTCATTTGTCTACATTATAAAATGATAGTGTACCAGAAAGTTCTGTTGAAAAACAGAGAGAGCTTTCCGATTGAAATAAGTAGAACATGCAAATAGTAGAACAAGGGGTGCTGCTACATTAACTGAAAGTTTTGACTAGGGCAGGCAATCTGTTTATTAAAAAATAAAGAAATACTGGTCTTGTTTTTTTTTTTTGTTTTTTTGTTTTATGTCAACAAATATATGATAAAACCTTTGTCCAACCTCAACGAGATATACAAATATATTAGTGATGTAACGATTATTCGGCATGAGCATCAGCCTTATTGGCCATTTTTTGCACAATCGGAATCAGTATCGGCATCAGCCACTTTTAACGATTTTCCAATTGATGGCATTTTAATATTTTTATCCTGCATTATTATAACAGTTAAATAATAAATGAACTAAACTTTATGCATTAGTTAGAATTTTTTGGATAAATTTTTATTTTGACTTTTGTTTAAAGACAAAAGCTTTAAAAGTAACCAATTTAGGCATTGTTATCTATATGTTTTTTTAAATTTCTTTTTTACTCCCAACAATGCTGCAAGCAACCACTATCAAGTTGGGAGTTGCTAGAAAAAAAGAGTAGAGATATAGAGTAAGGAAACGGTTAACAGAAGACTTGAAAAGTTGAAGGTTGTATGAGTCAGGAAAACATGAAGATAGAACAGAGTTCCTAAGCATTGAAGTGCTGGGAAATAAGTTAGACAAATAAATGTTTTTGGAGCATAAAGAGACAGATACAGTAAAAGAATGAGACTTTGATAAATGACAAGTCAAGCAAGAATGTGTTTTAATTGATGGAACTAGAGATCAAGGCTGTGGAGTCGGAGTTGCGGAGTTGCGACAATTTTAGCGGAGGCGGAGTCACTAAAAAATATTGCAACTCCGACAGTAATATTTCTTGGTATTGCACGTGTATGTACAAAACATTCAATTAACCTTATGTTCATACTAAACCTCAAAAAAAATTTCAACTTATCGCACAATATATTATAAGAATTTTTCAAAAATTTTGATTTGGAGTCAGAGTTAGAGTCGGAGTCGGAGTTGTACTCAAAAAATTTCAACAACTGGAGTCGGAGTCGTTACTTTTTTTTTACGACTCCACACCTCTGCTAGAGATAAAAGCTCCTTTGAGCAGCAACCATTATAGTATTTATAAAAAAGAAAAGGAGATGCATCTTTATGATAATGGAAAAGAGGCTAAAGCTTAGCAGATAGGCTTTGTTCAACTCTGTTTACAATGCGTTTTTGGGCCTTATCTTGAAGAGAAAAAGCATCATTAGAAAAACGAGCCCAAATATGACAATTTTATTTCATACAGGGACGAATAAGAAAGTTGAAGAGGTAGAGAATGGAATCAGGAAAGAGAAAAAGATGAGCACGATAAAGAAAAGCAAGCTTAGTATATGCTAATTTAGAAATCCATTGTATATATGATTTCCATGAAAGATCTGTAGTAAATGATAATTCAAGAAGATGTAAAGAAGAGGAATCAGTGAGAGGGTTGCCAGTCATTAAAATAGGAGTGTCAACAGTACTGCAATAGTTATTTGAGGTAAATAACTGAGTTTTATTGGAATTTGAGTTTACAAGCCACTGTAAGCCCCAATCAGTTACAGAAGTAAGATCAGATACAAGATAGGCTGTCTGTTTTAAGCAAAAAAGAGAAGAATCTTTGTCAAGATATTAGTATTAAGTTGAGTCATCAGAAAAAAGACCTACTTTAGATGTGAGGTTGTCAGGAAAATCATTAATGTAGATAAGTCATAAAACAGGACCAAGGATAAAACCTTGAGGTACCCAAGAAGTTACTGGAAATAAAGAAGAGTATTGACCTTCAAGGATGACTTTTTAAGGCGGTTAGAAAAAAAACTATTTAATTATCTCAAAAATCTCCCAGATAAACCATATGAAACAAGCTAATGGAGAAGACCAACATGTCAAACTTTGTTGAAAGCCTAAGATATGTCTAGAGCAATAGCGTCTAAGCCTCCATCTAATGCATGATAAAATCATTAAGTCACAGCAATTAGCAAGTCAGCCGTAGAGCAAGAGGATTGAAACACGTATTGGTTGTCTGACAGCAAGTTATTTGACTAAAGTTGGAATGTGAGAAATATGTTTATCAAAGACTCAAAGACCTTGCTAATAACAGAAAGAAGACTGATTAGACAATATTTGGAGGGGTCAGTACGTTTACCAGATTTTAAAAAAAATAGAACAACAGATGTCATTTTCCAGTAGGCAGGAAAACAAGAATCAGTCAAGTACTTAATAAATAGTTTAGAGAAAATTGAGTCCTAAAGAGCAATTTTGTACAACTGTGACAGGAATTTTGTCAAGACCACAAGCCGTAGAAGAGTTTGATCAAGATATGACTATGAGCAATGGAAGCTGAAGTAGTTTAATGTCTAACAGTGCCAAAAAAGTGATATCTGTACATCACTAATATATATATATATATATATATATATATATATATATATATATATATATATATATATATATATATATATATATATATATATATATATATATATATATATATATATATATATATATTACAACCCTCAGAATTAGGGTGGGCATTCATCAATGCTGTTTCTATGTTTATGGTTAGACCTTTGTATCAAAGTTTTTGCCGACCTGATGCTGATATATTTGTATGTATATATATATATATATATATATATATATATATATATATATATATATATATATATATATATATATATATATATATATATATATATATATATATATATATATATGTTATAAATTTATCTGTTTGACAGTTGGTTATTTTGATTGGTTATATACCGAGTTATTTTGTAAGAAATATTTTGGTTTATTATGTTTAATTTTTGTTCGTTATTATTTCTCTGTAAAGACTATTTTTTAATATTTATTTCAGAGCTTTATTATAGTAAAATAATCTTTTGAAAATGTAAATAAATTTTACAAAACATGTCAAGAATAAAAAACATTGTGTTATTTTTAAAAATAATTACTTATTTTATGCTATTATGACGATTACAATATATATATATATATATATATATATATATATATATATATATATATATATATATATATATATATATATATATATATATATATATATATATATATATATATATATATATATATATATATATATATATATATATATATATGTATATATATGTATATATATATATATATATATATATATATATATATATATATATATATATATATATATATATATATATATATATATTAGTGATGTACAGATATCACTTTTTTGGCCGATGCCGAGACCGATGCCAATGGATGTGAAAAGGCTGATACCGATGCTGATACCGATGAATTAATTAATTATTATAAATTTGAAAATATAAACCCATACAACTTTAAATCGATATACAGTGCTTCCAGAGAGTATTAGAGCACTCATATTTTTTTTACCTCAATGAACTTCAAATGAGTGTAATTCAAAAACAATAAAAGGCTAATTGATCATTTTTTTTTAACTTATAAAATAATGCAGATTTACTAATTGTTAAATATATAAAAGTATTTCTTTATTATTATCTTGAATTTAATTAGAATACAATAAGAGTGATAAAAAACAATATTAAAAAAGTGTGTAAAAGTATTAGCCCACTTACAGTTTTTCATAGATTCTAAGAAAGTTTAATATTTTATGTGACCCCCTTTGTTTTTAAGGCATGCCAAAATTCTATGCAGCATAGAATATAAAAGTTTTGTGATTAGTTCTTGTGGCATGGCATTCCACAATTCTTTTATTTGCGTTTTGAGCTCCACAAAATTAGTGGGCTTGCTTTTTTGTAATTTGTAGCCCATCCAACTCTAAAGATTCTCAATAGGATTTAAATCAGACAAGCAAGCAGGCCAAGGCATTGTATTCAACCGCTTTTCTTTGACGTATTACTTAATTGAGCATGCTGTGTGGCAATGAGCGTTATCTTGTTAAAATTGTCAGGTGGTGTCAGCTTGGAAAATGTCCATTGATGGCTTTAAATAATCTTCTTATATCTCTCTATATCGATGTTGATTAAGGCGATCAGTTTAAAGATGCACCAGGCCATTGCTAGATCTAGCAATGCAGCCCCAAATGCCAATCGTGCCTTTTGGCTATGCTCATGTTTCAGTTGCATCTAGCCAGCATAATTGCTTTATTTTCGTCCTTTTCTGACATTTTTTTGGGACGACCAGAGTGACTTTTGTCTTTGACTGTTTCAAACTCATTATAGTTTTTGAGCGTTGTTCTAACGCTGCATTCACTGATTTCAAGTTGACGTCCGATTTCTTGATTGCTGAGACCACTTTTGTGCAGGCCAACAACTTTCCACTTTGTTTCAATCGATATACTCTTTAAACCCATATTTTTGTTAGCACAATTTTAAAGGTTTAACTAAATGTATTTCAAATGATATTTCTGACACTTTAATTTATGGTTCTTAAATTTTTTATTGACTATTATTAATCAGCAGAGAGTAGTTAACAAAAATTAGCCAAAAAAATTTTTCTCAAAGGAATTAAACAAGTATGTTAATACATTTTAAATGAGTGTGCTAATACTTTTGCATGCCTAATTTCAGACATTTTTCTGAGTAGTCATTAAAATTCTAATTAACTTATAAAAAAAAAAAGCAGGTTGACAAACATTTTATAATTAAATTTAATTGGTTTTACCTCTCATTTAAAAAAAAAAACTAGTTCAAAATTAAAATTACTTTACAATTTATATTGATTTGAAGTTGTCTATAATAAAAAAAATTACAAGTGCACTAATACTTTTTGAAAGCACTGAATACATTCTTGTTCTATCATCTTAAATTTTGGTTATAAAAGGTAAATTTTCAAACTTTATGTTTTTAAAAAAAAAACTAATTTAGATGACTGGAAAAGGTTTGAAACCTTCAAATTTTTTTTTTAATTTATTGAATAAAAATCATTCCAGTCTGTTAAGTTGCATTTTTGTTACCATAAACAGTAAATTAAAGTCTCTTAAATCTGCTCTTGTGATATTTTAATAAAGTTGAATCATTTTGATAAATTTGTTCATTAGTACACATCCCTAAAAAGTCAATTATGCGAGTTTGAGATTGCAGCTAAAAAAAATCAGCTTAATTATCAGGGTAAATACAGAACTAGATTTTTGCATTTGTAATTGCTGGAGCTTATAGTTTTATTGGTGTCAATGCAAAAAAAGAAATATAATACATATATAACATCATACCAAGATGATTTACATATTAAATGAGCAGGATGTTATAATAACAAAAACAAACTATTTTTAAGTAAAACTAGAATGCTCAAAAGTTCAACTAGAAAAAAAAAAATCTTGTGTGAACTACCAAACCCCTGAATATTAAACAACACAGTGAACTTCTTTAACAACAACAACCTTGATATGCAGAGATTAACTTAATAACAACAACAACTTTAATATGCAGAGATTAAAAAAAACTATTGTTATTCCATTTTCAATTTTTTATTAAGTTTATTTTTTAGTATTCTTTTAAATTAATTCTTTCTTATTTTTTTTTTTATCTCATCTATATTTTTATTATTACCAGATTATGTGTTACTACAAATGATAAAGTTGTTTTTGATATTATAAACCATATTACATATCTATTTTATTTTTTATTCTAATTTAGGGGAAAAATAAAAATATGCTATATTATTATTTATAAAAGATTATTTCTTATGTTTAGAAGTTGCTAATAAGTTGTTTTTATAGAAAATGTTTTTTTCAGAATGAAAACAAAAAGTTTTCAGAATGAAAAAGTTTAGATAAAGTGTTTTAATTTTTAATACTTTGGTTTTGTTTATATCTATCATTTTTATATAATTTTTTTGTCAATATTTTTTTATCTACTTTTTTATTTGTTTAATTTTAAAGTTTCAAATTTGCTAAAATAAAAATTTAAATTTAGCTGTTTTTTTATTATAGCCTATCAGCAGAGGTAATCTCTATTGTAGAGAGTTTTCTGTGTTTATTTTGACATCTGCTTTCATAGGATATTGAGTTTAGAAACTATGGAATTTAAAACATAAACATTTTATATTGAAAGACAAAAAATAGGATGTTTATTTTCATTATGAAACTTAATTCACTTGTAAAATAGTTTAAACATTGCACATGTAGCTTTTTAACTTTTAAAAAAATAATTAATTTTTTTTTTTTTTCAATTTTGTGTGTGTAAAATTTTAACACTTCACATAAAATAATATTTAAAAACATTAATTCTGATTATTGCTATATTTATATTGCATATGATTTTGTTAAAGAGATTTTGTTGTTGTTTTTTTTCTTTTTTGTAAATAAATTTAGTACTTGATTGGTTCTTATTTACTTAGGTATTTACTTAATTGGGTATTTTCTTGATGCTTACTGTTATTAGTAGCAATACTGTTATTAAAAACAGTTTTCTTACTTTGTCTATTGCCCATCTTATTTCAAAAACTTAACAGAGATTTTGAAAAAGTATGAAATTAATTAAACAAACATGTAGACATTTTTTAAAAAATAATTTGTTATCCAAAATATGACATAAAACTGATTGGATGCTTTCTTAAATTGTTTATTTATTATTATTGCATTTATTTGCAATCAGGTCAGTTATTATTGTATTATTATACAATTACTGATTTACTTTAATATAAGACATATATGTATGTTAGCATTTATATGTATGCAAACAAATTATAAATTTACCATGTGTAACAAGTTATGTTATTTTAGATTCCTAAAAATGGGGGAAGTTATGGCTAATATTTATCGTGATGATCTTTTTTTGGAGAAAGGTTGTGATATATGGATGGATAATCAATCTTCTGCTTTACTTTTTGAGAAATCCAAAATATCTACCCTTCGAGGTAAACTTAAAGTCATTAAATTTTGTTTCAATGATTATCTAGACATAGACTATATGGATCCAATCATAATGTCAAATGTAATAAGAACTATAAGAATGTAAACCATTAAATAGCATACTCTGATAACCTTTGTATTTATTCATGTCTTTTTGATAGTTCTATATATTATTTCAAACAATTCTATCTCAATGTGGGTCATTCCATGCCAAAAGACCTAAATTTTAGAATATCAACATGGATCTCAGATTTTGATAAAACTTTATGGGTTGGTTTATTTCAATCAGAGTGTCAGCTTCTGAAAATTTCAGCATAAAACCTTTTGTGGTTCATGAGATATGGTTATTTAAAATTTCTAATTTATACAAAAATAAAAACTTCAGTAGCAAAAATATATTTTATTCATACTTAAAAGCAAAATGTAAAAATAAAATTTCAGAAAACCTTTTAGTTTTTTTTTAATTATATACAATTTAAAACTCTAAACTTACTAAACATTGAATTTTTTGTTACATTTTATTTTATTGTTATTTTTTTGTTTTGCATGTAAGATATTTATTAATGACACTTTTTATTCATATATGATTAATGGCTAAACCCTAAAAAATCATTTGCCAATATAAAAAATGAATTTTTGATGAGTCAAAATATATAAAGAATTTAAAAAATTAAGACTGGTTGGCTTCCTAATTTTTAGAAATTGATGAAAAGATACAATTCAGTAAGAAATTATAGATTCCTGAAAATGACTCTAGCTAAAACTTGAAAAATTATACCTTCAAACCAACTGTAATTTAGGATCAACACTCATTTTAATAATAAACTTTTTTCTACTGTATTAATAGATTTTATTACAGTGATTTCAGCTAAAAAAAAGTGGACACTCATGAAGAAGTTACAAAGTAAGTAAGTTACAAGATCAATGAAAAGATGTACTTGAATTTCCATTATATATATGTAAATATATATATATATACATATATATATATATATATATATATATATATATATATATATATATATATATATATATATATATATATATATATATATATATATATATATATATATATATATATATATATATATATATATATATATATATGCTATGTTCCTATATAAATATGTTTTTATATATACTTTTAAAGATTAAATTGCTTTAATTAATTCCATTAGTGAGCCCAAGTCTTTTTTACTTTTGCAACACAACTCTTGTCTTTGGTTCATCATTAATTAAATTCAGAGAAACTCCTAAAACAGTTGCTATTTTCTCTTTGGTTGCAGTATGGATTTGATTCACTTTTTTTTTTACATAGCTGACCCTGTCTATATGAGTTAATAGTTTTAGGTGAACAACCAAGGCTATTCATGCTTGAATTAAAGTTTTTTTTTTGAAATGCATGTCTTATTAAAATCTCTTTATCTTTATCTTTACGTGAATCAATTTCATAATCTTCTTTTTTTTTTTTCTTTTTTTTTATACAGAACATTTTTTGACATTCTGTACAAAGCTCATGATCAAGTTTTAGATCAACCATACTGATTACTTTGCAACATACTGATTACTCTGCAACATCCTTTGCAACATACTGATTACTCTGCAACATCCTTTGCAACATACTGATTACTCTGCAACATCCTTTGCAACATACTGATTACTCTGCAACATTCTTTGCAACATACTGATTACTCTGCAACATCCTTTGCAACATACTGATTTCTCTGACAGAGTAAAAAAAAAAGAGTTAACTAAAAAGCAACAAAATGATAAAACATTAAAGAAGTTTTTATCTTTTAAATAATTGATGAATTCAGTTTATTTTTAAATACTTAAATATTTAATATTGTGTTTATGTTAAATAGATCACAACAAATACTTTTATTAATCAAAGTTTCAAATCTATTCAAGTAGACATTTCCATGGTAATAACAAATTACTTTACATTAGTGCAAGTTCTTGATCTTTTTCTGTTAAATCCTCAAAACTTTCTTGCTTTTATTTTCTTGATTTTGGTAAATTTTTCTTCATGACTATCTTTGTATAATGTTTTTCCAATGCAACATTGATTATAAATAAAATAAAGATCCACCCATTAGCCTGTCTTTTATGTCATAGCTTTTAAATGTTTTTTTTTTTTGTGTGCATAAAGACACTTCATGCATCAGACATAAAACCGGACACTGTTTAGGATGAAATATTTAATAAAAATTCTCTTTCAAGTTCTGATCGAAAATGTCAGTGTTATAAAGTAAATGGACAGGACCTAGAGTTTAATTCAGTCCTAATTTAAGGCTTATTTCTAGTACTGATTACAAAATACTATTTTGTACCAACTTCATTGTTCTGACTTTGTAACAGCCCCAAGAACACCCTTTTTTTTTTCATTAAATAATACTGTGATAAAGTCTATTAAATTAGTAGAAAAAAAAGTTTATTATTAAAATCAGTGTTGATCCTAGGTTTTAGGTAGTTTGAACTGAAGGCTTAATTTTTTATGATTTAATCAGAGTTATTTTTAAGTGTCTATAATTTCTTACTGAGTTGTATCTTATCAGCAAATTTCTTAAATTTAGGAAGCCTATCATACATAGAAACTAAAAAAATGTCTTTTCATTTTTCTAATTTTGTATATTTATCCATTAAAAACCAACTTTTTATACCCCATTCACACCAAAAATAAAACCAGTTTTAAATCCTTGTTTCAAATAAATGAGTTTGAAAAACCGTAGCTAAATAAAACAACATCATGAGGTTGTCTAATTAAAAACTTTTGTTGCTTGGAAGCAGAGAAATTGTTTTAAATCTCCATGTAAAAAAAGTTGTAATGAAAAATTGAGAATAATATATTTATATATATTATATATATACATTTAAATCAAAAAAATGTAAACATTTAACATTTATATATATATATATATATATATATATATATATATACATATACACTTACTAAAGCGTATTTTTATAATCATTTGCTCACTTTTTTTGCTTACCTTAACCCATATGGCTTTTTAGAAAAAGAAGAAAAAGAATGATGAATTAAACGATTGCTGTCCCATCCCAAACCCTCAGTCGATGTAGCAGCACTCCACTGCGAGTCAGACTATTTGTCAGTCAATGTATGTACTGAAGCCCCCAGCAGCAGGCTATTTTAGTATGACGTCAGATTGCTTACCTTAGAATGCAATACTATTTGTATATATATATATATATATATATATATATATATATGAATATATATATATATATATATATATATATATATATATATATATATATATATATATATATATATATATATATATATGTATATGTATATGTATGTATGTATATATAACGTATAGTTATATATATATATATATACATATATATATATATATATATATATATATATATATATATATATATATATATATATATATATATATATATATATATATATATTGCGAGTCAGGCTATTTGTCAGTCGATGTATGTACTGAAGCCCCCAACAGCAGGCTATTTCAGCATGACGTCAGATTGTTTACCTTAGTACTCAATACTATTTGTATATATATATATATATATATATATATATTTATATATATATAATAGTAGAAACAAGTAGAAACTCTTGAAAAAGTTATTTTTTTATATTTTTGTTTTTTTTTGAAAATGATAAACTATCTTTTTTCCACATACCCTGTTTATTAAAGACTAGAGTGTGTTTTCTTTTCAGTGTTCTCCCAAAAAAAAAAAAAAAATTTGTGCAAATTTTTTTTTTTTTTTTGGGAGAAGGAATCTATGTATACTGAAAGGTATATTTTGGCATCTTTTACAAATAAATTGTACACATTTCAAATATACATTGCTGTCTATTGACATTGCTGTCTAGCTCTTCTAAGACTATCAAAGGTTTATGTTTTTAAAATTAAGTTTGTATTTGTTTTTACAATGATATTTTAACATAGTGAGAAAGGTTTTATATTTATTTAGATTCCTATTACCTTGTAATACCTTTTTTGAATAAAGAGATCCTTATTTTATGAAAAATTGTGCATTTCAATTATTATTAAAAAGGTTTATAGAACTTGAAATATGTTGTTTTATTGCTGACCGAATTTCTTTTGCTTCAATTTGAACAGAATCATTTCTCCCAATACTTATTTTAACCATGTTAACATCAATACCATCCAATCAATCTTCAGAGAAACTTTGATTGCTGAATTTTCAAAAATTATGAAAAATGCAGCATGCACTTACTATTTTAACAGTATTTTCAACAGATGTGTCAATGCGTTTGGAAATGCATTGGAATCTTCTTTTAAGCCTACCAAAAGCATTCTCCACTACTACACGAGATCTACTCAGAGAAAAGTTAAAACTTTTTTCTTCCCTTGAAAGATTCCCGCAATCTAAATAAGGTTTCATTAGTCATTCTTTCAAAGAGTATGCAGAATCCCCTAAAATTAAAGGAGATATTTCTTTTCCTGCAATGCTTCTTGAGAAATTACTTAGTAGGAAACTTTTTTGCTGGCATTTTAAGTATAAAGGAGAGTTTTTAAACACACGAGAGTCGTGAGACTTGCCTGTCCAACCAACAAATATGTCTAGGAAAAAATATCTGCTGTCAACAAAACCTTGAAGAATAATTGAATGATAATCTTTTCGATTAATGTAATCTTCTGGATTCTTTTTCAGTGCTTTTATTCTTATATGACATCCATAAACTGCACCCACAACAAAAGGAAAACTTGACATATCTTCAAATTGTTTTATAATTTCTTTTACCTCTTGAGGTAGATATATATATTTTTAGCAAGTTATCAACAATTGCATTTGTTACCAAGTGAATTAATTGACAAACTGCTGAACGACCCAGACAAAAAGGTTGCTTATTATTCGAATGTCAGAAAATCCAGAGAAAAAATACAAGGTTATTGCAACTTTCTGTTCAACTGAAACAGTCTTTCTAAAACTAGTGTCTTTAGTTTTTATAAATATTGCTTATTCTGAACATAAGTATATAAAAGCTTCTTTTGACATTCTTATATTTGTAACCCAGTCAGATTCTGTCTAATACTTATTCATATTATCAAAATAAAAGTTTTGAGATCTTGATTTTTTCCAAACTAAACGAGGTCTTGTGATATAGCTGAAGATAATTTGATTTAATAATTGCAAATGAAAATTACTTCGCTGGCATCGTCTTCTATAATACTTTAGCAAATTAACTTTATATGAGAAAGTTTTCAATAATTCTTCATTTCGTAAATTTTCCATTTTATTGATGTTTTTAAAAAATACTCAAAAGTTGACGTGACTAGAAATATTATCTAGAATAGTTTTTACTAGAATTTTTAATAGAGTTACGAAATTTAAGTTATATTCGGTTGCGTAAAAATAAATCAGATTTATTCTAGTGTGATATGGAATATTTTTAAAATAAGTTTAAACTAAACAACGTTTTAAAACCGAGTGTTATTAAAACTTGGTTTTGTTAGTGTGAATAGGGTATTATATTTGCAAATGATCAATGTTTTACTATAGTAAGTTTAGAGTTACACGTAATAAAAAAACTAAAAGGTTTTCTGAAATTTTGTTTTTAAAATATAGAGCTTCGAAGTATAATTTAAACATGTTTTTGCTACTAAAGTTTTTATTTTTGGAAATTTTAAATGACCGTATCTCATGAACCAAGAAATTTTCAGGAACTGTTTTTCTTATTGATATAAGTCAACCCACCCACCTTCTTGAACCTTGCTCCTCTTGGCATGAATGATCCATGTACCATTCATACAAACTGGTATCTCTATGTATATATTTAACACTGTGTATTTGTTAAAAGTATGCTAAGTTGTAAAGTAAAAAATATCCATTATCAAAAATTAAATGCAATATACTAAGTATTGTAATAATCTAATTAATGAGCTTAAATTTAATATAAGTTCATTTATTAGTAAATGTAATAATAGTTACATGTTAAGTATAAATATTTATCAAAATGCCACTTAAAATTGGCATCTTAAAAATAACCATTTATAATATTGCAGGTGAACGTGAAAATGTCCAAAAAAAGACTTTTACAAAATGGGTCAATTCTCATTTGCAAAAAGTTGAGGCTCACATTAATGACTTATATCACGATTTTCAAGATGGTCGCCAACTTATACTGTTATTAGAAATACTTTCAGCAACTAAATTAGTAAAGTTTTTATATAATTTTTTAAAATGGTTTTCTCTTTTTTTTATAGAATAATTTATTATTTTTTTCTTATTTAAGCCACGTCCAAGCAAAGGTCGAATGAGGATTCACTTCCTTGAGAATGTGGAGCATGCTTTAACTTTTTTAAAGAAGAAGGAAGTAATAATGATGATTATGATGTTAGTGATGATGATGATTGTGATAGTGATGATGATCATAATGATGATCATGATGTATTTTTTAACCATAGGTTCAGCTCACTAATATCGGAAACCATGATATCGTTGATGGAAATCCAAAAATTACATTAGGGTTGATCTGGACAATCATATTAAGATTTCAGGTTAATATTTTATTTCTATAATGAACTTAACAGTATTATTAAGAAAATGTAGGAAAAAAAAAGATTTTTTATAGAACTTTTAAGCTTTATGACTGATATAAGTTTTATTGGCATAAGCCATAAAATAAAAAGTCAAAAAAATAAAATTTAAAATTTATAAATTACTGGCTTAATTAGACAGGTATAATTTTACAAACAGTAAAAAGTATGAACATATATATTTTTAAATAAAACTTAAAAATATATTTTTTAATTTGAACAGTAGGAGAATTTTGTAGAATTTATAGCGAGTTCAAACATTTCTAAATGTAATACACCATAGTGAAATTGTTACTTGTTGAGAAGAAATTATTACTTTTTCTTCGAGAAGAAATATTTTATAAAGCTCTATGTTAGAGAGCTATTAAGTATTTCAAATTAAGTGTTTGCATATATTTGGTTTTGCATATATCTCATTTATGAAAGTTTTTTTTTTTTCAAGTCTGGTTTATGAAAATTAATTTTTTTCAAGTTTAAATTAAACAAGAATAATGATAAAAAGTAATTACTCATATAAATTAGTTATTATTATTCTTTAAGTCAGAAAAAATATATTAGTTGAAAAAGAAGTCTGGGAAATAATAAAAACAAAATATTTCCATGTGACTTAAGTACATGCTGTTCTGAGTATTTATTAGACAAAAAGTAGTATAATTAACGATGCACTTACACAATGCAGAACAAAATAAGGTTTGACAAACTTGTAACTTAATTCCATCCACATTTAAAAAATATTTGATGGTTCTTACTTTTGAACTTTATCCTGACATTATTTTGTACTCTTGTTCTTTTAATAGTGTCTTTTTTAAAGATTGCTAAGATTGCTGCATCTTGTAACACTTTGTCTGAGAACTGGTAAAAGTTAGTAAGTAATTGTTAACAGGTTCTCTGGTGTTATTTCTCATGCCTAAAAAGTCAGATATGTTTTTTGATTATCATATAAATTTATTTCTTAATTATTTGATACTTTTTTTAGTGAAGATCATTCAATACTATCATTCATTTTTTGTTTGTTACATTTCAGGAATAATAAAATAAAATAAATGTCAAAATAGTTAAATTTAATAAAACAAAGTTTTGAAAATGAAGCACTAAATTAACCTCATTTTTTCCTTTGCAAAAAAAAAAAAAAAAAAAAAAACTAATTGTTGGCTTGACAAATAAAACATAAAAAATAAGTATTATTAGTGTTAATGAAAAAAAAAGTATTTTAGTTTTTTTTTTTGTCATCATTCCATAATCAGTTCAGTTGAATAAACATCCACACTCTACTTGTAAAAGCCTTTAATGAGATTATACTATAAAGAAGGAATTTTTCTCGTTTCGAGCATTGCTTTTTATATTTCCAAAAAAAATTGTTTTTAAAATTACTCTAATATTCTATACTATAGCTTATAAAAAATTTGGGCCACACAATATTAGAAAACAGTGAAGTCTATCATTCAACTAAAAATTGGTATTCTTCTAATATAGTGTAGCCTAAGTGACATTTTCTACCTAAAACCAGTTACCATACACACATTTATACGTTTAGATATCTCAAAAATTCATCATGCATTAAATTTAAATATATGCGGGTTTGGCATCATTTTGTCCATAATACAAACAAACAAACAAAACGTAAGTCTTTAGCTCAAACAGAAGGTTATTTAGGTGAATTTACTTTTTTTCTAATAAATTAATGTAGAAATAAACCTGATTTTAACAAGACAACTTTAATTTATGTTTCGATAAAAGCATGCTTAACAATAAATATTAATGATGAACAATAAAAATAAATGATGCATGAATTAAACTTGAGTCAATATTTGAGATAATTTTTGAATTAAGTTGTTTTCAATCAAGAAAAGTTATATACAAGTATATAAGTTTTGAACAAGTCTATAAATAAGTTTTATATACAAGTCCAAACCTGGGTTTTAGAAGAAAACCCAGGTTTGAACTTGTATATAAAACTTATTTATCAGTTTCATTATTTTTTCACTAATAATTCATATGTTATAATGTCAGATTATACAATAGTTTGTTTAGTATTTTATTACAGAATTACTCGAAATAGGAAAACACATGTTGTAGATTCTGAGGCACATAATTAGAGAAGAAAATTTAAATAAAATAAGTTGTTTGAAAATACTGGTACATTTTGATGCAAAGATTTTGAAACAATACAATAAGAGAAAAGAAATATCTCAACAAATGGGGATAGATTAACCATTAGTGTATCTTTGCTAAAGTCTAAACATACTTAAGAGAATTGTAAAGTTTGATTTGTCTCAAGTTGCTTTTAGGCCCAGTTTATTACTGTTCAAACTTGCCTCAAAAACTAAAAGTTTTTGTATTACAGCTCTTCATAAGTTCCTGAGAGGGGATTACAGGTATCTTTGTGAGCATTTTTTATAGGAGTAGAGTTATCAAACTTCTCATTTAAAAAGCCTGAAGTTCATCATTAAGCAAGATTAATGGCTGTATCTACTTCCTGGTTATTCAGATTACTCAAATGTATCATTTGATTCTGTGACAGAAAAACTTATTAGGTCATCTGAAGACTGCAACCAATTACAATCTATTTTTTTATGGATTCTTCTTTCTGAGAATCTTAAATGCTTTTTAATTATCCTCAAATGATCTAATAGCCTTCTATATTGTTTTTCAGCAACAAACAGAAGACTATTTTAAAGAATTTGCAACTATAATAAGGATTTTTTACCAGAGCCTCATGCATCATACTTGGTATCTGTCCCCACAAGATGTAGTTTTTGCTTTTGCTGATAAAGAACTTAAAACTAAAGTTATGACTAACATGTTGAACAAGCTGCTTTCTTGTGATATCTTGGAATTGAGAGATCAGGATTAAAAGAAGCCTGAAACTCAGAATAAAATTGTTCTTACATCAAAGTTAAAAGACCTTCTCAGTGAACAGTTCTACTTTTTTTTATCCTACCATTCTTGATATTAGAGATCTCTAAGTTTTCCCAGTTTTTATGTACTTTTCAATGTGTGTAAGAACTCTTACAACAACTGCAGTTATAAATGACTGTGTAGAACGCAACATCAAGTTAATTTAAGATTGTTTGATGGAACACAAAATGGAGACAGACTTCAGGATACCTTTTAGGTGTTTTATTATATAACAGAATATAAATGATTAAAGAATATAAATGATTGAACAGAATATAAATGATAAAAATGAAGGAAAGCTGAACTCAGATTAATTTTTTGCTATTAAGTATTAAAATATTTTTTCCTGTATATGCAAATAATGGCTAGCCATTGTGCTTTTTGAGATGTGTGTGTGTTTAATCTTATCTTTAATATTGATCAGGATATTTTGTATTTTGAAGTTGCTTGACTTTGATTAATTATCCATTTTAAGACAGTATGATATGATAAGACAGTAAAGACTTCTTGGAGCACCTATGTAACTTAAAAAACAAAATCTTTTTTTTTTAACACACTTGGTAAAGTTAGCCTGGGTCAAAGTCACCCATTTTAGTGGGGCAGACTCACCTTATTTGTTTTGAGCCCTTGTAAAGATATAAACATTTAAGCTTCCAAAACAAGATAGAATCAAACTCTGATAGTTTAAAGTTAATTTAGTGCATATATATATTGTGCAAAGAAATACATGTACAACATACTGCTAATGCTAAAAAAACTGTACTGCTATGGATGTAAAGGTTCCCACAACTTTTTTTGGTGCTCATACCAAAGCGTTATTTATAATAATTTTAAAATGCTTTATAAGTTTTAAATAAGTTAGAATGAATAATTAACTAATTTGCCACAAATTGTTACAAAAATTTAACTGGCATACTTTATGGTACTAAATATAAAACCATTTTAAAACAAAAAAATTTGCTTGGGCCAAAGTCACCTGCAGGACCAAATTCAACCCCAGTTTATGGTATATTACTATAATAAAATTTATCATAATATAAATATTATTATTTAATAATATTAAATATTATTTAGTTCATTTTGTTGGAAATAAATGATAAACTAAATCTCTAATTTTTTTATTTTATTTATAGCACTAAAGTTAACTTACTGATTTGTGGTTAAAACATTTTAAAAATTATTTGCTGAAATGTTCATTTTGTTGCATTTAAAAACAAATTTGTCTATAAAACCTATTATTTATTTGGAAAAAAAATTCAAGGTTTCACCGCAAACAAATTTAATTGTTTGAAATGCAACATTAATTTTTTGTTTGTTTTGGTAACAATTTTAATTAGAATAATATGAATAAAATCAATATTATGTTAAAATTTATTTAAAAAAAAAAAGTGAGTTCACATAAAGAACATTCTGCTTGTGCTAAAGACTTAGTCTTAGATAAGTTTTAATATAACAAAATTAAGTTAAAACATGTTTTTAACTTAATTTTAGGTTCATTAATGTATTAAATATTTTAGTTATATTATTATTAAACTAATCATTTTTAAGTGTTTGATGAGTAAGTATTCAATTGCGTTTTTTTCTATTAAATCCCGGGATTTCCCAGGGATAAATATCTTAATCCCGAAATCCCTGGAGTGAAAATTTCCAGGATTTTTGCCATCCCTAATACCAGCTGCAGAATCGCTTTCAATAGAACTTCTATCGTCTTTGACTTCTTCTTCAACATAAAAATCAACACTCTCATTGGTTGTTCTGTGGACTTTGCTGCATAATTTGATACAGCCACATTCGACTTTATTACATGTTCTTCTTTGAGAGAAATATTGAAAGATCTGTCCACACCTCCCATTGTATCTCTATAAATCTTCTCGTATTGCGCTTGTAGAATCTGTCTGTCTTCTTCATTTTTGGTTAATAACATTGCATCTTGATTGGCAATGTCAACCAGGTCATCCAAGCTTTCCTGAAATATCTGTTGATTTGCTAAATAAACCATAAGTTGGCTAGTTGCTCACTTATGGTTTATCAGTTTTTTCAGTTGCTGCCATTCTATGTGTAATTTTCTTATATGTTCAACAATGTGATTTGGAGCTTTGGTTGGTATTCTTGCCATCTCCCATATTTGCAGCAGAGGTGAGAAGTTTTATATATGTTGTCTTTCTAACTCATTTTTTTACTGGCATGGTAAAAAAAAAAATACTTTCAAGACTTCAACATGCGAAGCTTTAAAGCTTTGAATTTTTCAGCTGTACTACCAATCAGCCAGATTAAATGTAAGGCTTGAGTGATTTTTATATCCATAACAACTTCAATCTGCAAAAGTTATTAAAATGTAGTTTGAGATCAGCATAACATCAAAAGTTATACATACATTCTAAGATTAAAATAATATTAAACAAACCATACTTTAAAATTAACTACAACTAATAATAAATTTTGTTTTCAAAAATTTGTACAAGTTACAACAGGTCAGAAAAAGACTAATAAGTTATAAACACTATCATATTGTTTTTTTTTTATACCATTTGTATAATAAAATTTAAAAATCGTAACTGTACCTTTAGTCGTCAACAAAAGTTAACTTTTCACAAAAACCTGAAAAAATTGGGTTTTTAATCAAATTTCCAAAAATATCAAGCAGTTAAAAAAATGGATGCCAGTTATTAAATATAACCAAAAACACTGAGTATACCAAACCATCAGTCAATATAGCAGCACTTCGCTGCAACTTGGGCTATTTGTCAGTTGATGTATGTACTAAAGCCCCCAGCAGCAGGCTATTTCAGTATGACATCACTTAAATCAGCAGCATAAAATATCTTACTCCGAAACATGAACTTTGAAGAACAAGGCCACCACGTAGCTTATATATACACATTTAAATATATATATAAAAATATATACATAAATATATATATATATATATATATATATATATATATATATATATATATATATATATATATATATTCAAATAGTATTGCGTACTAAAGTAAGCAATCTGACGTCATACTGAAATAGCCTGCTGCTGTGGGCTTCAGTACATACATCAACTGACAAATAGCCTGACTCGCAGTGGAGTGCTGCTACATCGACTGAAGGTTTGGGATGGGGCAGCAATTGTTTTATTCATCGTTCTTCGTTTTTTTTTTTCTTCTTTTTCGAAAAAAGCAGTACGGCTTAAGGTAAACTGAAAAAGTGAGCAAATGCTTATCAAAACATGCTTTAGTAAGTGTATATATATATATATATATATATATATATATATATATATATATATATATATATATATATATATATACACATATACATATATATATATTTATGTATTTATATATATATATATATATATATATATATATATATATATATATATATATATATATATATATATATATATATATATATATATATATATATATATATATATATATATATATATATATATATATATATATACATATACATATATATATATTTATGTATATATATATATATATATATATATATATATATATATATATATATATATATATATATATATATAGAGAGAGAGAGAGAGAGAGAGAGAGAGAGAGAGAGAGAGTTCAGAGAGGGTTGTAGCCACTAAATTAGCCTCCTCGATTGTAGTGGCTTTCTCGGCTTTAGGAGGTGAATAATTAATATATATATATATATATATATATATATATATATATATATATATATATATATATATATATATATATATATATACACAGGTTTGGTCAGGAAGCGGGGATAACTGACCACGGAAATAATATTTAGTTGCAAAAAACTGGCCAGATTTTATAGTCGTTTTGAGAACGTTTAGGTTTATGTATGTTTCCTTGTTTGTCCGCAAAATAATAAGTTCATTTTATTGTAAATTTTAAATTCTTTTGTTTTACGGACTTACATGGAAACATACATAAACTTAAATGTTCTCAAACATCTTAGTGTGGAAAAATAAAAGATTATTCGTAAACACAAAAAACCCGCCAAATCTACGAACAATTAATTCTATTGGTTCAAAAAATACTAACCAAAATGTCTAGAGTATTCAAAAAATACTAATCGAATGTCCTGAGTATTCTGTTGAAATATTTTAAAAAATTGTATTATTTGAATTTTGTTATGTTTTTGTAAGGTTTCTAGCATAAATTATTTTAAGAATATACTATCAAACAAACTATTATTTTAATTGTTAGAGCCACATCTACAAATGTTTTAAACTAGCTTTATTTGTTTACAATAATAAATGTTTTAAATTTATGTTTTTTAACTTGTCAACGTTTTGTAAATATATTATAGATTTTATTAGTATATTCTTATTTTATATATATATGGGATGTATTTTTTATGTATGTAATGTATTTTTATGTATGTAATGTATTTTGATGTATGTAATTTTATGTATGTCTATTTTATTCAAATGTAATCTTTTAAAGCAATTTGTGCGATAGATTTTGTAAACAAAAATACTTTTAATAATAACTGCGTTTTCAATGAAATTGTTAATAATCATCAAAGTTAATACAAATAATTTTAACCACTAATCCATTTTTTTCTCAGTATACCCGATAACTGATTCTTTCCCCCAAGAAAGAAAAGTTTTTAAGTTCTTGGAAATTGGTTTACTAACTTCAATCATTTTTGCTTCAGCCATTCTTACAAACTCGTTATACTAAAGTTACTTTTTTCTGTTTTAAATACTAATTCAAATTATAAAGCCCACTGACTAAACATCATTAGCGTTATTGTAAAGCAGTTTCGCTTCCTCTTCACAAAGTAATTTAACGTTTTTAGTTAATTTCTATCTAGCTAATTGAATTTCTACAGTAACTCAATGGTTTAATTATTTCATTTTTTCATCTTACTAAGAAGAATTGTTTAAAATGTGTTAAACTTTTTAAACTATGCGAAGCATAAAACAGTTATTGAAAAAACTTTTTTATTTATAAATAAATCATCTAGCGTTAGTTTTACTGGTTGAATCTTGTTGGACTTTTCAGGGCCGGGGGCTGCATTATTTTGGCGGTCTTTTTTATGCGCCACAGCGTAAAAGTGACTAAAAAAAACACCGAATAGTTCCCTTGACTATTTCCTCTGACATTGTGAGTCCCGGGGCTATAGCCATACTACCCCTACCCCACCTCCTCAATCTGCAACTGGAAATAAGACATAAGTATATAAATAAAAATTATACATACTCTTTGATAAATCGAAGAACATTTGTTTCTTTATAGTTGTTACTTTATATTTAAAATGTCGCTTAATTTTATAAAAAAAATTATAAAAGAGCGACGTTTCAAAAATAATTGCTCTAATAAATTTATTTTGCTTAAAGTTTTTTCGCGTTAAAAGCTATTTTTCTTTTTTTAACTGTCTCTCATCGGTCCAGTTAATCTTATTGTGCTTTTTTATTTGTTTTTGAAATGTTCTCAAAACGACTAAAAAATCTGGCCAGTTTTTCGCAACAAAATAATATTTCCGTGGTCAATTATCGAGTGCGATCGCACCCGCTTCCCAACCAAGCCTGTATATATATATATATATATATACACATATATATGTATACATACATACATATATATGTGTATATATATATAAATATATATATATACATATATGTATACATACATACATACATACATACATACATACATACATACATACATACATACTTATATACTTTTTGGAGTGCAATTGTATGAGTCAAAAAAATGCATAATATACACTGCTTTAAAAATTAATTTATTACATTTAGATTCAAGATCTAATGATTGAAACAGATTCTTTAGAGCAGAGATCTGCAAAAGATGCTCTTCTTCTTTGGTGTCAATCAAAAGTACAAGGGTACATTGTTTTGATTTTCAATTTTTTTATTTTCAATCTTTATATTTAGTTTTGGTCATATATAGGCACAAATATCACATATTGACACTTATATTGATACAAATATCACATATTGACACCTATTTATTTATACATATTTGTCTATACAAGCAAGCGACTACTGATAAATAAAATTTAATTTCAATTTTGACAAGCTGAAGACAGTTTAATTATGACCTAAATAGTATTAGTACAAACTATATAAGGCATAATTTAATGGGGTATTTTATCTTTTTTTTTTGGTTAAAATGATACACCCAAATGTAGTGAGCTGTGAAATTTCAAATTTAAGTTTAAAAAAAAAAAATTATGAAATGTCTTTCTAATTTTATTTATAGTTATCCAAATGTAAATGTCACAAATTTTACAACAAGTTGGAGAGATGGTTTTGCTTTCAATGCTATTATTCACAAGCACAGGTATTATTTATGTCATTATTATTTTTGGTTAAAATGATAACTACATTTTTTGACTTTTTAAAATATTTATTTAATTTGCAGACCAGATTTAATTGATATGAAAAAGCTGGTTAAAGAAGAACCTATTAAAAATTTGAATATGGCATTTTCTACAGCAGAACGAGAGCTTGGTGTTTTTCCTCTACTTGATGCTCCAGGTAATGTTATATTTCAAAACATAAAAATTTCCTCTACAAAACATAAAAATAGGATAAAAAGTCTTGATAATAATAGTTAATAATAATAATTTTTTTTTAGATGTTTGTGTTGACTTCCCTGATGAAAAGTCAATAATGACTTATGTTGCGACTTTCTATCAGTATTTCTCTAAAATGAAACAAGTAGAGGTTTCTGGCAGTCGCATACAAAATGTAAATTTTGAAATTAAGAAATTATTTTTTTTGTTTTTAAATTTTTTTTTTTTTTGTATTATAAAACAATTAATCAATATTAATTTCTTAAATCGCTTTTCTATATAAAGGTAATCAAACAAGTCGTAGACAATGAAAATTTAATAAAAAAGTACGAGTGCTTAAGTGAGGCTTTAATGGAATGGATTCAAGCTCGCATTCTTATTCTTCAGAATCATTCTTTCGGAAACACATTACTTGCTGTGCAACAACAACTAACAGAGTTTAATTTGTATAGAACACAAGAAAAGCCACCAAAGTAAATTTTTTAATTCATTTATGGCAAAATAAGTTTTTAAAAGTCAGAAAATTTTAGTAAATAAAGCATTTTTAAAATGTTTTTTTTTTTTTTTAGTTTAAAATAATTTTATTGATAGATTAGTTCAATTAAAATATTTTAATACTTTGCAAAACATTGTATACATCATTATTTAGGTATGTTGACAAAGGCAATATTGAGGTATTAATGTTCGAGATTACAAGTAAGCTTCGATTAAATCACCAAAAAATGTACAATCCCCCAGAATCTTTAATGGTAAATGAAATTAATAAAGCTTGGCAACAACTTGAAAAAGAAGAACACAGTTGTGAGGTTGCTTTGAGAAAAGAACTTATTCGACAACAGCAGCTTGAACAACTTGCAAGTCGGTTTTCACGAAAAGCAAAGCTTCGTGAGACTTGGCTCAAAGAAAATAGCAAACTATTGCAAATGGATAACTTTGGAAATGATTTGCCATCTGTTGAAGCCTCTGTGAAAAAACATGAAGCAATTGATACAGACATTAAAGTTTGTTTATATATCTTTTTCATGTTTTATAGCATTTTTAAACAGATTCAATTGATTATTGAGGTCAGCCTATTGGGCAGGGGAGGAAAGTTTTCCTTAGCACACTCACCTTGTACTCAATCATATAATGGGGATAAATAATGAACGGTTGAAGTTAAACAATTTATCAGTTGTTTAAATTAAATAGATATAGGAATTTCCAAGTTCATATTAAAGAGAACAATAAAAAAAATGTTTGGGCTAAATTTTTTTGATTAAAACAAAATAATAAACGTATACCAAGAAAAAGTAAATTTGCAGTTTTAGTAAAATTTTGCCTTTTCAATTTTAGTCAGAATTTTAAGTCTTTCAAATACACATGCTCTTTTTGATGCAATATACAGGCAATTCATTCAAGCATGTTTAGTTCTTAAGAGTTTTAGTATAAAAATGAGGTCATTGTAGAAATACGTTATTCATATTTTTAATGCAAAAAATAGAAAATAAAGTACAAATGAATTAAAAATTAAGATAATAAAAATAAAAAACAAATGAATTAAAAATAAAGATAATAAATTTATAGATTTCTTATTGAAGTTCTACAATGAAGTCATATGCTACAACTTTTTGGAATTAAACTTGCTTGAACAAATTATCAAGTCTGTAGATTGTCTCAAAAAATTCTCTTTAATATAAGCACAACTTGTCTTAGCACTTAGGAATCCCTTTAAGTTTTTCTGTTTTGAATCATTTGCTTTTGAAAAAGTGCTTATAGTGTTTTTAATTTTGCCTTAAAAATATGTGTGTGTGTCTATATATATATATATATATATATATATATATATATATATATATATATATATATATATATATATATATATATATATATATATATATATATATATATATATATATATATATATATATATATATATATACATATATAAACACACTGTTATATTTAGTGTATATTTTATTTAGTTTTGTTTACAAATATAAAAAAGTTTTATATTGTTATATACAGTTTTTATAATTTTTCATGTGTTATCATTTCATCTATTGTTTTTCTTTATTATTGACAAGCTCAAACAATAATGTTGTCTCACTAAATTTTCATAAATATTTTTTCCTATATACTAGTTTCTATATACTTTTCTATATACTAGTATAGTATACACTATATATTTTTTTAAATATTACATTTTTTCTATATACTTCTTTATTCTGCATACATATTAACAACAATATTATTGTCATGTGATGTTTTATTTTTTTACATTGTTTTTATAAAAATTGATAAAGTTTTATTTTTTATAATAAAAATATAAATTGCAAACATGTTTTTTCATAGGCATATGAGTCAAGAGTTGTTGGCCTTTTTCTTTTATGTGATCAATTAAAAAAAGAAAACTATCACAAAATTGAGTTTTTTATGCAATGGACAAACCAAATTAAAGTGAATTGGGAACAGCTTTTAATATTACTTAAATTTCGAAGTTCAAGACTTGAAAAACATCTTCAAATTTATAAAATTTTTCAAGAAATGATTTATATCAATGATTGGATGAATGACATTAAGGTGATATTCATTACATTTTTTTTTTTTTTATGATTTATTTTTCAAGCTTTTACTATACAAATTTTTTTATAGACTGCTCTTCAATCTGAAGATTTCGGAAAACATCTTGTAAGTGTAGAAGACCTTCTGCAAAAACATAGTTTGCTTGAAGCAGATATCTCTGTCCAATCAGATCGAGTTAAATCAACTAATAATAATGCTGATATATTTTTAGAAACAGTTTTAAAAGATGAAGCAGATGGTAGCTTTTTTTAATTTAATTTTCATTTAAAGTATATATATGTATGCTTAAGTATATATATATATATATATATATATATATATATATATATATATATATATATATATATATATATATATATATATATATATATATATATATATATATATATATATATATATATATACACACATACATATATATATACATATATACAGAAGTGTGCCAAAGTTAATAAACACCAACTTTTTTCAGTTTTTACTGACAAACTTTTAACAAACTTTTTTAAATAAGTTGGAATTTTTACCAAATATGCTCTATATTGTTTCAATTTAAAATACAAACCATAAAAGTTGTAAAATTGAACTGTAAATTAGCGTTTAATTGTTTTTTTTAAAAAAGCTTGCGTCCAAAAGTTTAGAAACAGTATCATTCCATGCATTTAAATCATTTTTTTTTGTAAACAAAAGCAAAATTAAAGACTATATTTTTTGTGAAATTTAATAATCTAATTATTTTAGAGATATTTCAAAGACAATGAAATATAACTAAAATAAAATATAGCTAAAATATTTATAATTTAATTACTTGAATAATATTACTAATATTTTAAAAGCATGGGAAAAGCTTAGGAAGTTTCAAAGAAAATAAAAGAACTAGTTATTAAAGCTGTGGGAAATAAAATGACTTAGAGACAGATTTCTGAACTTTACAATGTTTCTAAAACAGGAATAAGTCACATTATGAAAAGATTAGTACATCGACTGGCAATTAGTTGGTAGAAAAACAACCAACAAAGACCATTTATTTGCATTGATTAAATTAATTTTGGTATAATATTCCTCAGGATGCTCTCATTAAATTAGTAGATTCAATGCCTCTTCGATGTGATGCTGTTTTAAAAGCAATTGGATATGCCACCAAATGCTAAGTGTTTTATTAAAACTATTTTATTGTTAAAAAATTGTTATTTTGTGAATTTTAGTAAAAGTTTCAGCTTTTTTGAAATAAATATTAATCAAATTCAGTTGTTTCTAAACTTTTGCACAGAAGCTCTTTCAAAAAAAAACAATTAAATGTTAATTAACCGTTCAATTTTACAACTTTTGTGATTTGTATTTTAAATTGAAATAATATAGAGCACATTTGGTAAAAATTTCAGCTTATTTATTAAAGTTTGTAAAAAGTAATCCCGTAAAAACTGAAAAAAAGTTTGTGTTTCTAAACTTTTGCATGCTACTGTGTGTGTGCGTATATATATACATATATATATATATATATATATATATATATATATATATATATATATATATAATATATATATATATATATATATATATATATATATATATATATATATATATTATATATGTATTTTTATATATTATATATGTATTTTTATATATGCATGTATATCTACCATAGCGTTACATTACTTTTACAGTAAAAATTGTATAAACAGTTAAGTTCACTGTATACTTTATTTTATTACTAAATTTTTGTTTGTAACACCACATTTTCAACTGTTTATTTTAGTTTGTTATTGTTTAGTATCTTCAGCTACATATTTTAAATTTAAGTTTTATTTTTTGTAATTACTTACAAAAATTTAAAGTTTGGTTAAAATGAAGTTTAAAATGTTTAGGATATAAAGCAAATATTGAAGTTATAAAATCCAACCAAAGTGACTTACTGAGAAACTATACAAATTTGTGCAATTTATCATCGGAAAGAAAACAGCGATTAGAAGAATCTCTACAGCTGCACACATTTTATAGAGACCTTGAAGAAGAAGATATATGGCTTAGTGAAAAAGACTATTTTGTTTCTTCAACAGAATATGGTCATGATCTTTGTACGACAGCATATTTGTTACATCAACATAAGGTTTGCTTGTTAACAATCTAAATAGTTTATTTATTGCATCAACATAAGGTTTGCTTGTTAACAATCTAAATAGATTATTTATTGCATCAACATAAGGTTTCTAACAAGAAAAAAATTTTTTTTTTAAAGTAAAAGTAACAAACTAAGTAGTTTTAACTGTAATATGATTAAATTTTCTTTCATTGTTTTATTTTTTAGAATTTAAAAAGTTAGGTAGATTTTTTAGAATTTAAAAAGTTAGGTAGAATTTAAAATATTGGGTAGATGTATTGAAGGAATTTAAAAAGTTAGGTAGATTCACTAAACAATTTAAAAAGTTAGGTAGATATATTGAACAATTTATATAATGGATATAATGATGCCATTTCGGGGATAAAAAAGTAGTAAAAGGAATATAACAGTATTTTAAAGTAACTATTAAAAGTTTAAAACAATCTAAATCACAAGTGAGTAGTTGTCTTTTTAGGAAAGTATCTAACAGTATATAGTTGTTTTGGTAAATCGAAATGTTTTGGTGTTACTTCTTAAAAACTTTTTTAGCTTATTTTTTGCAATTTTTTTTTTTTGAAAGGAAAGGCAATTAAATTCTTTTTTTTTTTGACAGACTTTAGAGGAAGAGCTGGCAGCCAAAAGACAACAAACTGATGCTTTATTTAAACATGGAAATGTATTAGTTGCTAACATGCCATATGCTACAGCAAGAATAAATGAGTTGTCACAAAAATTAAAGGAAAAATGGAAGTCTGTTGATGATGCTTCAAAAGAGCGTTGTAAAAAACTTAAAGAAGTGTTAAATCTCCATCAAGTATTTTTTATTATTTTAAAATAAAGAAAATATCAAATTTAATATTTTAGTATGTACTCAACAAAATTGATAACAGAAAAATTTCATGATAAAATCTAAAAAAGTAAAAAAGTTTTACGCAGACACTCATAAATTTCTTTATTTCCAAAATCTTTCCAAAATTAAAAAATTTCTTTATTTCCAAAAAAAAAATAACTAGCTTATAAAAAATACTAAAATAGCATTGTATTCAGCTGAATAACAAATGCCAGATTGTAATGAAAAAAATGCGTAAAAACAGATTTCATATAACTATTTTTATTTATTTTTATTTCAACAAATAATTAGCATATTTGATACTTAAAATCTATAGGTGGTTAGTTATGATAAAACATTTTCATCATTTGATGATAGCAAATAATTTCGAATTTCTTATATATTATACTGACTTCTGAAAATAGTCATTCACTGCGTACCCTGCCACCAGCAAATAATAAGAAAATTTTAGCAAGTTCTGTTAAGATAATGTTTTGTGTTTACTGACCACAACTTGTAAGGGTTTACTGTTAACTTAAGGGAACAGTTTTATGAAAAAGCTAATATCATTTGCAGTTGGACTTTTCTTTCCCATATTGTCATATTTTTTTTGTATACATTTTTTTTGTAGAGATTGATTTAATACAAACAACATAAACTAAGTTTTTCAATAGCAGTATCAGAAACCACTTGTTGCTTAAGGTTTGTTGCTGAAGTTGTTGAAACTCTCCTCAACCCTTTAACTCTAAAAGATAAAAAAGTATTTTTTAATCTTATATTTAAAAAAATTTACAGTTATGTGCTTATGTTACTGTAGCATTAAATCATGTTTTTGGTGAATTAAAATTTTATTTGTTATACAGTAAGAATTTAGGAAATGCCAGCTTATACATGCAGAACAAAATACAGTTGGTTTTATAATACATGCCGAGCGAAATACAGTTGGCTTTATACATGCAGAATGAAATCAAGTTGGCTTGATGATACATGCTGAATAAATACAGTTGGCTTTATGATACATGGTGAATAAAGCAAAAATACAAAAGTTATTGCAAAAATCTCTGAATACTTTAATCACACAAAAAAAGTTTAAAATTTATTATATTTTTATTTGAATAACAAGTTCTTTTATCAAGTTTATTTTATCAAGTTTATTTTATCAAGATTATTTAATAATGGTGCTGCATTCAATAATGGTGCTGCCCAATTCAAACAGCAGAATTAATTTATAAATGAATATTATATTGAAATATGAAATTTTTTTGAAAATAATTTGCTACTGTTTGTAGCCAAAACAATTAAACTTTATTTTATTAAAAGCTAAAGCCAAGTACTAAATAATAATCTGTTTCATTTACTGATGTAATTATGAAAGGTATCAAAGGTAAGTGATGTTGAAGTGAAAAAGGAAAGTTTAATTGAAAATGATGTTGAATTAAAAAAAAATAATAAAAAAAAATAAAAATTTGATAAGTTAGTTCGAGAATGTGATGCACAGATGAAATTCTTTTGAAATAACTTGTGAAACATTCTTTTGCATCACATGTGAAACTTTTGAAAATAGCCATTCATTAAAAATATTTTACAATTGACATAAAACAAATAAATCGTTTACAATAAATTTGTCTGTCTGTCAAAAGGTTGTTTTTACAAAATCAAACTTTTATAAAAAAAAAAAACATTTTATTTGCTACAATATATATTGAAAATTCTTTTGTTTTATATATATTCCATGTATGCAAGACAAAATTTTACATTAAATTTAAAATTCAAGCTATTTTACATTAAATGTAAAATTCAAGCTATGATTGCATAATCAAAAAATTCTGTTAAAAATATTTACTATGTTCTAAATACATATTATGGCCATATTCATGTTGTCCTATATGTAAAAATAAGATAATATATTTATTTCAGGGGTCATTCTTGAAGTTTTTAGGTATTTTTTTTCTTGTATTTTTTCTAATTTACTGTTTCTTATCTTCTTTTTTTTTTAATTTCAGTTTTTTAGTGATTGTCGAGAAATAGAGGCAGATATGAACGAGTTTGAGGCTCCAGTTGCAAACGATGATTGGGGACAAGATGAACAATCAGTTGGTGAATTAATAAGAAATTATGAGGTAGGCATTTATAACTGTTTATGGTAGTTGCTGTGAAATCACTATATGTTTTTATTTTAAAAGATTTTTTTAATTTTATGTATAAAATAATATCATAAGGATAAAATATTAGTAATTTGCAGTATATATATACATATATATATATATATATATATATATATATATATATATATATATATATATATATATATATATATATATATATATATATATATATATATATATATATACATACATACATATATATACATACATACATACATACATATACATATATATATATATATATATATATATATATATATATATATATATATATATATATATATATATATATATATATATATATATATATATATATATATATATATATATATATATATATATATATATAAAGAAAAATAATGAAAGAAAAAAGTGCTGCCCCATACCATCAGATAATCAGTCCATCATGTTTCTATATTCCAAAATTGCAAGCAAACAATAAACTGCAAAAAAAAAAAGCAACTTCTAATTAAAAATTTATTAGCACCTCATTTGGTAGATATAATTAAATAGGAATTACAAAAGGTTCCTTTTTATGGAATTTCTACAGATTCAAGTAATCACAAATACATGAAGATGTTTTCAATACTCTTCCATTATTTCATGGAAGGTGATGGCCTAAAAGTTAAACTCCTTGAGTTACAAACCTCGTCTAATGAAACAATACAATAACAGCATTTTTCAGAGCATTTGTGTGTGTGTGTGTGTGTGTGTGTGTGTGTGTGTGTGTGTGTGTGTGTGTGTGTGTGTGTGTGTGTGTAGAGTTACTTTAGTCAAAAATAGCAAAGGGATCCCAGACTTACAAGAAAAAAGAAGGAAAAGATTGTGGATCAGCCTAACAATAATAGAATTTTCTAAATTATTGATAAATTTTAGTTTTTTTAACAAAAAATCTAGATCTTATAGTTTGTATCAACAGTCTCAAGTAAAAATGTCAGATGTCATTTTTACTTGAGACAAATGTTAAAATGTCATTCATTTAGAAAATAAAGAATGTATTTTGTTTTTTTAAAGAAAGTTTTAAAAGTTTTAAAATTTCTAAAAAAGGCATTTAATAAAATCATGTTAAAGGAAATTATGAATTGTCTAAGGAACGGAGTCATTACAGACAATTGACTAAGGTATATTTCACTGGGTATATTTAGTTATCAATTTTTAACAGAGATAATAAACAAATAGATTTTATTAGTTATCAAGAAGACATAAAATGTATGTTCTAAAATAAAACCTGGGATTTTGTGATATTGAATTAATAAAAAAGTAAGTTTTTTTTTGTCTTTACAAATTTTAATCTATAATCTATGACAATTTTAATGTTTCTTTGTAATTGCAGCAATCAAATATTTTTCTTTGTTATTTATCATTCATAATTAGTTCTGCAGAATCCAAAATATAGAAAATCAAAATATATTTTTTGAATCATATCTGCAGATTTATTTGACCATAGAGTTGAATGAAATAAAGATCTTTATGATTTTTAATTATTTAATGTCAACTTCTAAAAATTGCTAATGACTGTGGTTATTCAGATTTTTATGTTTAAAAAATTCTTTAATTTCAAAATTAAGAAACAATGAAATTAATGAATTACATTGGTACTTACATTATATGAAGCAATTAAAAGCTGTTAGAGAAAATCTAATTCCGTTTTTCAAAAATGACTACAACAAATTAACAAATTTAAAATACAAAAATTTGGATTTTTTGAAGAAACTAATTTAAAGAGCATTCAATTATCAATTCATAAACTATTTAAAAGTGGTAGTTATATTTTTGTTTAAAAAAATAGAAAAGTTTGATAAAATATGATTACTTTGAATGAAGCATTGTCAACACTTATTAAATTTTCTTTTTTACATAAATATTTAGTGTACATCCACACTAGGATATGTCACTTAAAACAAAAATGAGCAAAGAAACTTCTAGCATCAATATTATAGTGCCAATATATATAATGAATAAAAATTCCAAAAATTTTTTTTTCATATTTACTGGGGAATTGTTTTTTTTTTTCATCATAAAATCGTAAAATTTCTGTATGTCAGATCGAAAAAATTCTGAATTGAAAAAAATTATGTCTCAGTGAATTTCAATCCAATTTTAATGTTATTTGTGTATAAAACATGAAAAAACTGGTTAAATTATTGGCGTCAAAAAACCAAGATTAAACTAGAATTGATGATGGCTGGAAGCCTGGTGGGCCCGTTCCTAGACTCTTTTTTTTTTTTAGAAATTTTAAGTAATATTAATAATAAAAGATTTTGAGAAAAAAAAAAAAATTCTACCTACCAGAGAACTGTTTTTTTTTAAGATTAACTATTTGTTTGGCAAAGTTACATATTCATGTTCAAACATATATTTATAGTAAAAATAATCAAATTCAAGTGTTTTTATAAAAAATGTTTCTTAAATCTTTTTTAGAGTGCAGTTTAGCTGTTAATAGTCTATGAGCCTTCCTGGCCCTAACAAATCCATCTCTTCTCTCAAATCCACAAACAGATGCAGATGCATCTGTCACCTTTTTTACCGCTCTTTCACAAGACAATGTGTGTAGGGTAAAGTAAGGTGCTTCAAAAGGTGTCTCTAAGAAATTGTCAAGATCTTTTGTAGATATTTGACAAGTAAATACAGGTTCTGATTTATCTTCTTTGTCCGAGTGGATCAGTTGTATGGATATAGCTCCCAGATTGAGTTGGACCTTCTTCCTTGGCCTGAATCAAGTGTCTCCATATTTCAAATCTTTCTGTACCTCTTTGATGACTTTAATGGCAAACCTTGGGTCCATCTTGCCTGAAATCAAACATGTAATTAGTTTATAGCAGAGAGATGAATTAGTTGACATCGAACTAAGAATTTTTTTAAGGGTCCGGATTAATGGTTCAAACTACACAATAGATTCAAATATATCAAGTCTTTTCATACTATTCACTGGTCCAGTGAAACTAACCTTTAAATTGGTGGGTCCATCCAGAGTGATTATAGTGTGCCTAAAAGGAAGCTCATTGCAATTTATCATACAAATACACCAGAAACACTTTCTTCCCAACAATTGTTCAAGATTTCTCAACAAACCTTTTTTGTCAACAAACTTCATCTTTCCCTGTTACAGCATTTGTTGAATTTCCTACTATTACTTCTAGAGTTTTTTGTACTCCCCAAGAAACCATCCAATTAAATAGTCCAATAGCTGGTCGTTTATCAGGCTTATTGGGAGGGATTGCCTTCATGGGTGTAAAATGTGTAATATAGTGACTGTCAGGTTCAGAAGTAATGCTAATTTGTACTTCTTTTACCTTTGATTTTTTTTTTTTTTTTTTTTAATGTTTTTTAGGTGCCCCAAGAAGACCTAACGGTCTTGACACAGAGCACCGCGGAAGTGCATTTAACCAGGAAGTTCATGCCTCCTTCCTTACCATGACGCAAAAATATGTCCAGAGCTTGTTTCGAACCTGGATCTCCTGCTTATAAAGCTAACGCTCTACGCACAAAATCATCATTTAGTAAAAAATAATAATACTCCATTTAGTATATTTATACTACATTTAGTATATTTCATTGATGAAATTGTTTGTAACAGGGTTGTGCCTTAAAATTCTGGTAAAATTTTTTCTGCCATCAGTAAATATACCTTTGATAGCTTGTAATTGAATCTTCATTTCTTCAGATGTCTTTGCTTTAGTCATAACTGCTTTCCAAGCTCTAACAACTTTCTTAGGATCTACAGCAATATAAGATATTCCAGGTATTAAAAAGTTACATAGAGTAAGGTCTTGAAGAAAAGCTGAAACTACTGTTAATGTTGCAGCTGGCGAAATATCAAATCTCAAAAAAGCTTCAGCACTATTACTAATAGACATAAAATTTAGGTTCCAGTTATCAATTGAAGCAGGTTCATTGTCCATTTCTATTCTATTTGAATTATCACCACTTATGAAAGACTCAACAAGACCTTTATTCTATGAAGTTTCTTCATTTTTTTTTTTCTGATTTTTTTTTTCTAGACTGACTTTCATTTTAGCTTCCTCTTTTCTAAAGAAACTTGTCTAGCTGTTTCCTTAGTATTTTTACAAGTCATTTGGTACTTTGATAGTGATACAGTTTTTTCTCTTTCAGCTTTTAACCAAATAAGTTCACTTTTTGGAATCTTTTCCCTCGGACAGGTACACTGAATACGTGCAAAATCTAGACAACTATTTAATTTTGAGCACTTTTCTTTATATAAAGTAGTTTCACATTTACATGATGTAACGACAAGCAATTGATATAATTTGATTTTCCATGTAGAAACAATTTTTTGGGTTTTCCTCTAGAAATATCACTAAAATTATTCCAGGCTTATTCTATTTTCTGTAGCAAAGTTTGTTTAATACCACAGGAAACTTGAAAAGAGCATTCAATCATGTCCACTGTTGAAAAACCAAGTCTGCTTATTGTACTCTAAAATCTCTTACAAAAATCAGCCTCCTTAAAAAAAAATAATAATAATAAAAGGTTTGGCTTAGTGAATACAAGTAAATATAAATAATTTTTCTGCAATCTTTAATTGTTTTCTTTACGTACTTGTCAATATCTTTTTCAATGAGCAAACATTCTTGTATTAAAAGTCATTTTACTTTTTTATCCAAATTAAATCTAGTAATTTTAGAAGTACTCATTCTTCCTGTTGAAATTAAATAAATACTAGCAATTAACAAAACTAGAAATCGACCAATTGTACTTTTGTACTGTGTATTCATGTATGAGGCACATAAATGCACCATACAGAAGTAATTTCTTTCAGTTTTATTGATTGCTAGTATGAATAAATATAAACATGTTTAAATACAAAAATATTTCAGAATGTGATGTATTGTATTCTTGCCAGAGTACATTCAAAAGAGTTCATTAGTACAGAAGTGTGCATTATGTACATTGTATGCAAAGTACACTTTTGTACTAATGAATTAAACATAGAC